CCAGAAAATCATTTGTTACATTTGTATGACATTGTTGTGCGATGTCTGGAGAAGCTATAGATAGATCTAGTAATGACCATCGATGATCTGGATGCGAGTTGACAGCTGTATTGAGTCTTGTTGGATGTTGTGTGTTGAGTATCACAAGATCGTGTCTATCGATTATATTTGCCAGATAGTTACCTCGGGTATTGTTAATTCTACTTCCCCATGAATGGTGGTGGCTATTCAAATCTCCCAAAATTAAAGTTTTGTTTCTGGAGAAAGGGATGGCGCGTGCCATTTCAGATTCCGATATAGAGTTGCTCGGTGAAATATATATATTGACGATGTTATATCCACAGACGTCAATGCACTGCATTTCCATCGCCAATGAATTTAATTGTTTTTCCGCGTATGAAAGCTTGTTGCTAATAAATATACAAACACCTCCGCCATATAAAGATCGGTCTTTCCTTATCAAATTGTATCCATTAATTCGAGGGGAATATTTCGCAATTAGATGAGTCTCTTGAAGCAAAATTAAATCAGGCATTTGTTTCATAGACGTTATATATTTCTTTAGTTCGTTTATTTTGCGATAAATACCCCGACAGTTCCACTGCATGATGAGCAACTTGCTATTATTATACATTAGATTCGTGGCATACTAAATCCTTTAAGTTTTCTATTTCGATCGGAAATTTCAATTTATGTTTTGCAGACAATGATATTATCTGAAAAATATCTGCTTGCTCTCCTTTAGATTGTGCAGCAATAGTATTTTGAATAACTTCAGCGATGAAAGCCATAAAGAGCATAGGTTCAAAGTTGATTTGTGAGGTCGTTTGTCGCTGTGTTATAGGCATCGATTTATATGCTGTATGGGAAATACATGCATAATTTTCTTGTGGCTGAGATAAAGGCGTTTGACGAGGAATTGATTTGTTTGCAGCATTTTTGACAAGATTCGGACTCGGTAAATTTGAATCATTATTAGTAGCAGGATTGTTTCTATTTTGAGATGACAACTGTGGAAATTCTTCTGAACTAAGGGCTGGTGGTGATGTAACAATAACTCTTGCTTCAGAATATGCTATTAATCGCCTGAATATTTGTTTCCGTTTTATATTTAGCGCAACCCGCATATCCTGCATTGTGATTTCCGCTGCAATTTGGGCATTTGATGCTACTTGGTCACATGCTTCATATTTATGATGTCCTCCACATCGTGCACAGCGCAGAGCACTTTCTGCAGAATTTTGCTAAATGACCGTATCGGTGGCAATTAAAACAACGAGTCGGCTGAGGATTATAATTCTCGTTCGAAAGTTTAGATATCCTATTTTTACCGTCGAAGGCAAAATGTGGGTGTCAAACTGCCAAAGTACAGATCTACTCTTAACCAATCCATTATTTGTTTTCATCTGCAAGCGCTTGACATAAACAACGTGCTGTCCAGACAGCGATTCAAGAATTTCTTGATCACTCAAATCATCACAGACGTCACTTATTACCCCACGAACCTGGTTTTTTTCTGAAATAGCTCTGTTTTGACTGGATTTTTGTTTTTGCTGTCTCCTAAGTCTTCACATTCTAGAAGAATTTTCACTTGCTTTTCCATTTGGGCATTCAATTTTTAGATTTCCGGTATGCAATACTTTAATTTCTACAAATGGACCGATTTTTCCTAATATATTCTATGGAATGGCATTTGGATTAAAAGAACGAAGAGGTTTTCAATACCTTTAGACACCTACAAATTATATTGATTTCAAGGGAGGCTTTGCCTGGTGTCATATCATTAATTTTTTACATAAAATCTCAGAGTCAATTGAATCTTTTGCTTTTCTCTTTGAAGAAATGGTCAATCCCTGCATTGCTTCCCAAACTATTGCTTCGCCGCAAGCAATGTTAGGCGGCTGCGATAATGGCATTGTATGCCTATTAGCAATAACAATTTACCTTGGTTCTTTAAGTAAATTCCGAGTTCTGTTTAGATAAATCCAAAAAATGAAAAGTAAACACCTGCTTGCTGTACGTCCCAATCCAAATAAATTCCACTCGAAGAAGCACATCCGCACGCCATGCTGTCTATCGGAACTGTGATAAATTTAGGGTATACTATACAGTAAACAAAAAAATAAATAAATACTAGAAAAGAAAAAAACTATTTGCCACACCATATTGATATTTTTGTAATGGTTGCCATTGCCAAATTGATCGATCTTCTAATCGTTAATTAAAATATAAAAGGAAGATTCTATTGAAAACATATTGCCAAGCTGATTGTAGTTGGAGTCAAATGCCAAGTTGCCCAACCAAAGTTGCCAGAATTGGGTGCATGAAGAGGTGGGCGAGACCATTTCATTCCCCAAATTAGAGTCTATCATTGCCAAATTATAGTCCAGATTGTAATAAGTAATTAAAGTTACCGGTAACAGTAAAATTACTATAATTAAGTAAAGTGGGATATGAAAATAAATTGGTTACAAAGAGTGTAAGTGAGGTTTTTCATTCTTGGGTATTGATATCAGACAAGGATATAGGAACAAGGTTGTTATTTCACAGAATATCGGAGTCTTTGTTTGATTTTTTCCTTATGTGTTTTACTTCATTTAATCACTTTGAAGTAACCTTGAAAAAATAAAATAAACTGCGAGTAGATTTTAATGATTGGGTGAAGGGGAACGCTCTGAACTATTTATTACAGGCAAAAAATAATTATTTAATAAATGGGATGTATTGTCATTATAAAGCGATGGATAGATGATCTATGACAGGGATGGCGAACCTTTTTCAGTGAATGGGTCAAAAATTATAATTTTATCGCGGAACAGAAGAGAGTGGGTCACAGAATTTAATTCACGTTGTATCTATAAGAACTTCTGAAAACAAATCTTATAAGCTGGTGTTGGTGTAGTTTTGGGCTTTACTTATGCAGCACTTCTATCAGGGACTTTTCATGGCACTCGATTTAAAGATATTAGAGTACGAAAACAGACACATGAATTACCAAAAACGTTTAGGATGATGCGTTAAATTATTTTACGGTTCTAGTGTTTGGAGGTAATTCCGCTTTGATAGTGTTATAATTTTTGATCAGCTTCCAACCACATTAAAGCTCTTTTACACTGCCCCATTGTTATATCAGATTTCTAAATTTTTATTTCAAGTCTGAAAGTTTTTGTTTTCACAACGGCATTGTAGACGAGAAACAGGCATTGCGAGAAATGAACAGATCAATTGCATTGTTATGTCATAAACGATGTCAGGCCCAATAGCTGAATAACGGTGCATACAAGATTAGGGGTTTTGAAAATTACCATACCGGCCCGAAATCAACATTTTGAACATGAGCGATCGCAGCCCTTCCTGACTGTCCAACTGACGGTACATTATAATAGTTTAGTTATTGTTAGATTAATTTAAGGCCGGTTTTATCAATTTTTTTATTACTGATATATTAGCATTTTTTTTATTTTATTCGTTCCTTCGCTTGGCGGATCACAAATAAAACGCGGTGGGTCACTTTGTGACCCGCGGGTCACTGGTTCGCCATCCCTGATCTATGATGACATTCTGCTTGGGACAGAGAAAAATTTATCACACCATGCAAAAAACACACAAAATTTTACTATCTATTATACCTTGGCCAACAAGTCGTCTCAAACACCAATACCATGTTAACTCAATGCGAAATTCGGCTTGTTTAAAAGCAACATTTGTTCGTGTAAGTGCGCCGTGAGTTTTTTCCTGATAATTTGCACGCACGAAGATAAAGTTTGGGGACCACTGCTTCATGGGATTTACGTGCTTCACTGAGTTGGTTACCATTGCAACGACCATTCAAGCGCATCGATGTAAACAAACACGAAACGTGCTTCTTCGCTTCTTCTGTCTCGCGTATCGGTTTTACATTTTCAGAACGCGGCCAGACAGGATAGGATAGGATTTACATATTTATCCCGGGGGAGAGGATCCACGGCCTCTCGTCCGGTTACCATTCCAAGTCGGGTATGGGATTTGTTTTTACTGTATTGTTTGTTTTCGGAAGCATGGAGCATTTGTGGTGGAGGAAGCTGTAACCGACCAGCGGTTACGTGAACCACACAACGACGGCGAGGAGTCCAGCAATCCTCTCGCACATAACCATCCCTGCATGGGATTCGAACCTGCGAACCCACGCAGAGTAATTAGAGGTGCGGTGGCGAGCGTATTCTTAACGCTTAGCCCGTTGAGCCACACCGCCGCGCCAAACAGTTGCACAGTTTGAGTCTGAGAGTGGCCTGGTGCAATTACCGACATCAGAACATAGGTATATTTATTACATTCTTATGTAAATTCAAATCATGTTGGTTGTATGGTAAGTAACCGATGTTGACTGATGATTCCCTCCAATGGAATCATGCCGATGTATCTGAAATAAATCAATTATTTTGCCATTTTTTTAATTTGTTTTACTGGAGTCATTATATCAGAATATAAATATGAGCTCTTTCCTTTTAAACACATGATAGAATATCTGAATATTTCATGTTTTTCAAAGATATGTAAAATTGAGGAGTTCAATTTCAATTATTTCAGATCTTGCTATCTTGAGACTCAGCAAAGCAATTAATAAACTGATATACTGATATATCAATCATCGAAAATATTTAATCCATGGTCAGATAGTCTATTTTCAAATATTTTGTTCATTACATTAATATGTTTGCTTGAGCTCTTGTTTGAAATGGAAACATCACTGTTACGACTAACCATTGATTTCTAAAGAGAATAAGAGGAACATGATACATACCAGTTATCATGAAAATTTCAGCCACTATTATGTAAGATTTAAAGTTTTGGGAATGACTGGAATATATCTGGCTTGTCATCAACTATACCAATTTATTACCGTACTCTCGGGGTGAGGTGATGGACAAAGGATTTGACCATTGGTTACTAATCTAGGATGCCAATTAAAACATTTATGATATAATGATATTGGACATTTTTATACAGATTTAAATAATATATCCAATAATTTTATGTGTTGCAAAAAATGCACATCTAATGACCCTAAGGATATTTCGAATCATTTGATGCCAGAAAAATAAAAATGAAGGACAGCATTGCCTTGGATGCTCATTTGATAACAAAGTGTGATGTTGATACAAAATCATCGAAGATTTTATCATATCCTGAATTTCAAAATCACCAAGTTATATCTCCATATATAAGCAGCACATATGATGATTTCGAAGAAGAATTTAAACATCTTCACACTGATGTATTTCCAAAACTAAATGAATATTGTCAAAAACGTGGTGCCTGATTTGTTCCTGTCGATTTCAGACGGACTGTAGTTGAAAGCCGTTTCTCGTCTGATTTTGCACTTTCGCATGCTTTAGATAGTATTAAACAATGTTGCCCATTTTTTATGGCAATTTTTGGACAAAAGTATGGACCTCACAGATTGCCAACGGACTCTTTTCTTAATGCACCGGCACCATTTGGTCGATATATACAGAATGCTCCATCTAACCTTGACCAGAATTTAATGACGGCTGGAAAACTCGGCCATTCTTGGGTTTTGGAGAAAAAATGGCAACTTTGCAGTTTGATGGAATTGGAAATACAAGCTGCGGCCCTTGAACAAACATCAACTGCCAAATATTGCTTTTTTTATATTCGTGATTTTAAGCATTCATATTTGAAAAAGACAGACAAATCATTTAATGCCGCTTCCTATACTGCCTCTGAAATTTCCATAGAAAGTCGCCAAAGTGGAGATGAGCTTGCGATGTTTGAAGCAGAAAGCGAATATGCGGAAAAAAGGATAAATGAGTTAAAAATGAGGATTGTTAAAAAGGGATGGACCATCAAATTTTTCTCTAATCCAACTGAACTTGGACATGCTGTTTTGCACAACTGGATGAAAGTTATCAATCAGATTTATCCAACATTGCCAAATCAGAATGGTAATGTTTTGATTTCTTTATTTTGAAAAATTAAATTCTAGATGCTTCTATTATTAAAGTCACTTCCAACTGAGATCAAGTAATAATTTTTATCTACAAGTGCATCTCAATTTTGTGCACAGCAAAATATTCACGTACATTCAGTTCAGTTGTGACATAAACTTTAAATAATGTAAATATTAAATAATATTCTCATTTCAATCATTTTTAGTATGTCCTATATTGTATCAAATAATTAATTATTATAAGGAATAACATTAATAAAGCCATAATGATCAAATTTCAGAAATGACGGATACATTTCCACTCTTAAAGTTTTATTAATTCTTTCATATTTATTATTTGACATCATTTAATTCTTCAATTTAATTTAATACTCATCTTAAATGACCTTTTCTATTTACCAAATCATATTCATGAAGGTGAATATGTCAAATATTCATCAACTATTGTATTCATCGCCTGTTATTATGCCACGCTTCATTACCAAAACTGTATGAATCTTTATCTGGAATAACAAAAGAGCATAACTCGGCTATTATAATGATGGAGGACATTTAAACCATTACTCCCAATTGAAGCTACACTTCAATTGTTAAAAAGCTTGTTGACACAACTTAAATACCCACTGTTATACGATATCAAATGATACAGGTTTGGATTTTACATTTCGTAATGGATATTGTCATCAAAAATTAATACGGTGGACACCGTTATACTATTATTGCCCTAAGGTTAGAAGGCCATTGAAAAACTTTCTGGATTATTACCTGGAATTAAACTGCAAATTTATCACTTCCAAATTAAAAGTTGAAAGTCTTTTTTTAAAAACAAAAGAAGCCTAAATTTAGCAACAATACCATTAAATACATTTTTAACACAGTTTTATTATTCAATATACTCTTGATCTGATTAACTGTATTTCACATTGCAATTGGAATTTTAACTTTAATTGACAAATGCCTTGAAACTATTGAGCAAAACAATTTAACAAAATAGGTACACTATTTTATACATCATTCTGAAGAATAAAATTTTCATGATAAAATTGTGCAGAACTGAATGAAAATTACAATATTTTTAAATCCTATGTAATACATCTTATAGTTAGGTAGTTACCTATTATGTTACATGAAATCTATATTTGTTGATTGTACCACTTGACAAATTGGTTGGTTTGTTTGTAATTCCACTTGAAACTGTTTGCACAAATTATCCACAAACTTCAGATACAAGTGGGATGAATAGGTAAAGTTATCTATAACAACCCACAAGGTTGAATGTTGACAACTTTATTTTATTCTTATGTGTACCATATGAGATAACTATATAATTATATATAACCAGTGGGCTCATATGAAATATTTGAACTACCTGGTATACATTGTGCCAAATATCCAACGCGGTGTTGTACTTGTACATAATCTGCAATGTTATCAAATTGAAAAAATCTAGTTTGTTATGTAGAGATCATCTATGTGCTCGTTGGCTAGCGCGTCGTGCCAAGTTTGCCGGCAGGTCAGAAGCCTATGGTATATTCACTTGACTAACACAGACAGTCCCCTAACTCATGATAGAACTAAAATAGTGACAATTGGAATAAAATTATAGCCTAACCCCAACCTGGTACACACACTACGGAAGTACTTAAAATTGTGTTGCTTTTCGATCTCTTTTGGCTTTTATCAAATAAATACTTTCTGTATCATAGAGTTCCTTCATGAAGATTGGAGTATTCAATCAACAAGACAAGAATTAGAGGAAAAATATTATTGGAATGATGATTTGAAACGGGTGTCAAAGTCAATGAATCAACATGTTGCCACTTCAGCATTGAATGAAAACATAGGTTTTTATTTACTGTTTGGAGAGTTTGCTTTTAATAAATCTAGCATTTCTTGGAGGTATTGAGAAAATGAGGGAATGTCTAATTATTCAAAATACACTCAAAGATAATTGATATTTAATATAAATTAAATAAAAATGGGATTAATGACTTTACCCAGTTTTCTAGTCAAAGGACTTTTCAAAACGGATGAAATATTCAAGCCTAGAGCTGGACATGAAAAATCAGCCTTCACAATGATATGCAATTTGGAAGTTGGTTGTCATAACACACAATCTAAAATATGCTGTGTTAGTCAAGGTTAAAAATATTTTATCGAAATGTATTTAGAACAGTTGTTACCAGTAGTTGCCTTTGTATATTTCTAGTATACATCACCAAACAGAGTATTTTTGGTAAATTTTTTATAACAGGCCAATCTTAACAATATTTCAGACAAAGATGCTCTAATTATGAATACTGATGATGAAGCTTATATAAAAGCACCGAAATATGGTGATGGATTGTTTTCAACAACTAAATCTTTCATAGAAGCAGCTCAATCATTGTAAGTTTAAATAATTGTGATTTGGCTTATAAAACTGAAATCCCCTTAAACCTTGGGTTATACATCCTGGGTTCATGACAAGGGCCTTGCTCGGAGCGAAAGTTGTGTTTGCTTGGAGCGAAAGTTGTGTATAAGCATTGAAAAAAATATATATCTGGATTCGTCAATGAAGTGAATATTTTAATGGCAAAATTATCATAAACCAACATTAATGTAGATGCTAAATTTTATGTTCCAAACAAGTCTCCAGACCAGCAGCCATGTATAACATTAACTTTGGACGGATTTTAATCTTACTCAGTCTAGTACCTTTTTAATCATCCTAAGAAAGCGGCTAACTTTCACACTAACACATTCAGATCCTAAGTAGTAGAGTTATCATTAAGCAGACTGCGATGCCAATGACACGAGACATCGTACATCCGAGTATAAACAAGCACTGATTATAGATAAAACAAATATTATCCATCTACCATGCTTGTAAAAGTGTTCCTGGTTAAACAAATCATCAAAAACAATATTATTAAAATGTTATTTTGATCTTGTATTGATTGGTCATTCAAGTAGTCTGAATTTGTCAAATGTCAACACCCTTACAATATTCAAGTATTATTCCTAACTTTCAAGATATACTTAACCTACCACTTCAAATTGTTGTAAGTCCCATCCACATAAAAGAGCGATCTGCACTGAATCTATTGAAGTGGATTAGTGGTCTGATATGTGATAACCGGTGGGAAAATTGAGGTTTTTGGTGGATTTTGGGTTTTTTAGATATGAATTTGATAGTACAAAATTTTTAAATATGGTTAATTGGTCAAAGGATTAGATTCGGAAACAGTGACGCAATTCAATAGTTTTTAAATTTTGTAATGCTTATTTATATGCGTAAAATTATAGCAAAAAATTGAATAAGTTATAATCTTAAGCCTGGATCTGGTTTGGCACAGCAAATAAATTTTGTATGCATAATATGTTCATATATATTTTTTATAACCTTACAATTCACATATTATAGTGGCAACTGGACTGGTCATTTACAACCAGCTTTCAAAATTTTAAAAATATTTGTCATGTCATAGTTTTTGTACATTTTATTCGCATAAACAGTTAGGCATTGATTTGATAATTCTGACACTGAATAATGATTTGTGGATAAATGACCTATTTATTTAATTATGATGTAATATTAATTTTGTAGCTCAAATACATACATTTTCATTCCTTTTTCCACTTTTTCGCTTTCTGAACCACTTAGGCTTTTTAAAATTTTTAATACTTTTCCAGGCGATATCCTGAAACAGAAAGAGCAGATAATATGAGAAAAGACATATTTGTGGTTGTCGGGGATCCAGGTAGCGGAAAATCTGCTTTGATTGCTCAATGGTTGAAACAATTTGAAGAAACTCAGCGAGATGTTTTGGTGAGTTTTATTTTTATGCAGACAAAAATATAGTGTGGGTTGAGTGGGTATATTTGAAAAACATGTAAAATTTCTATTTCTCTATATCATTGGATTTCTGCTGTAGTGAAATTTGTTGTATGCAAATAGGAGATACACATATGAGTGTAACTTTAAAATTGCAGTCTATTTTTGCTCATTTCTCAATAATACATTATATCAGAATCTATTCTATGATCAAACCAACAGTGACATTATGGTAAGCAAAGCACTCAAGATTACCACTTATTTTATAGCCCATAGTGTAACATAGTGTAACTTGTTTTCTTATAGCACAATTCTCCATATTCAACTACAATGACTCCATGTTTCATCCATATTTAATTTCATTAGCTCTTGACAATGGTTGCCCGTTACTAACCTAAAAATTTCCTTTACTTACATGTGAAAAAATGAAAATGTGAGAATAAAATAATATATTTGTTTCGAAATATATGTATTTAAAATGTTTCAGGTTATATCGGAATTCATTGGTGCATCTCATGTCAGTCGAGATATTGGTTCCTTTCTGAGAAGATGTGTCAAAACAATAAGAGAAATTCGTGGCAACAAAAGGTTAGATATGATATTACATGTTTATCTCAATGAGAGGAAAGTCAATAAGACATCTTAATCATTTGGCAAACCACGGCCTCTCGACCGATTACCAGTCTATGTTGGGTATGGGAATATTAACCAGTTATTTGTTTTAGATTCATGGACTTGACTTGATAATAGTAAAATGATAAAAAGCAACTATTTTCCACTTTACTATAATTCATCCCTTCTGAGGAATAAACTTTTCTGAATCTTTGCCTAAATTATTGAAAATAGATTTATCATTAAACATACTGTTCTATTTTCAGAATGACATATTCAGAATGTTTGGAAGATACGAAAAGTTATTCATCGCTTGTATCTGCGTTTCAAGAATGCATAAAACTGATTCCATGTATTCTCATCATTGATAGTTTGAATGATTTAAAAGCAAGCATGAATGAAGATATTGGATCTATAAAAAGTATGTTTTGAGAAATTTTTAGTTTTGTTTAGCTTATCCAATTTGTCATAATAGTGGTATTTATTTCCTAATTTTACATTAATAAGGGCATAGAACACTATAAATATGTCCAATTTGTGACATAGCATGCTAGCCACTAGGCTTTTGCCCGAGATTCTGAAGAAATTTTAAAATAATGGTTTCAAATATGGAATATCGATGATATTTCGGATTGGATCATGTTCAACCAAAAACAAAGACTTGCTAACACTAATATATATTTTTGTGACATTTCGTCTAACTTTATTCATTTTCTACCTGGTGATAGCTAGGTGTTTAGCTCTGTGAGATAAGTCATTGCAATACAATGAATTGAATGATGAAATGACGAAATTGTCTAGATAATCAGCTTACTTAGGTCAGCTTTATGTAGCTAGCCTACTCATTCAAACACCACAAATTTGAGTACAGTTCTTCGCAATAGGCATTGATACAGGCTTAAATAATTTCAGTTAGATGTTAGTAATATCTATTTTGGATGAAGTGATAAGTTCATGTATTACATGATGTATTACAAATCTGTCTGTATTACAAGTCATCTGTATGCATCTTCATAGTTTAATCTAATGCAAACGAAATGAACATTCAGTTTATTAACTATTTGTTCAGGGCTTTCCTGGTTGCCAGATAAAATACCATCAACTTGTCGAATTATTCTATCTACAAGAAGATCTGATTTAACCTACAAATCACTCACTGAAAGAAAAGATGTTTCAATCAACTGGATTCCTATTTTATCAAAACCTGACAGAATCAAAATATTGAAAACTCATTTAACCAGGCACTGTAAGTGAGAATAATAATATTACCAACAAATATAATTCTGTTAGTTTTAGTACCCCATGTTTTTGAAGTCAATTAAAACTGAGTTAAATAAAAATAAAAAATAGGTTGGTTTGAAGTCCAAGAACTTTTTCACTCTGAACAAGACTATTTGCAATCACTCACTGATATGTGAAGAAGCGCCATAGGCTTTCTGGTTGGGTATTCACCTACCTAATTTATTTCAATACTATAACCATATAAGTGTAGTGACTAATACTTGCCCATTTTAGACTCTCAAAACATCCCGGAATTTTTAGTTTTTTATAGAAAATTTTTTTCAAAAACAAGGTCGCATGCACTCATTCGAAAATATAGGAGATCTCTGAGCAAAGTTACAAATAATCACTGTAGCTACTGAGAATAATAATCTTTATAATGTAGAATTGCGCTCAAAATTTCGCTATTGGAGGTGATATAAACAGAAGTCAACTCCATTGAATTACGGTATACGTATTGTGTGATAATATATTGTAATAATATATTGATATTTGTCGTTTTTGTTATAGCACTGAACATAGGTACAATCAACAGCGAAAAAATCACTGGAAATAGATTGAGTGAAAAACCATTGTATCTGTCAACATTGGCTGGTCTTATATCATCTTGCACTAAACAACAAGAAGTTGATCAGGTTATTGAAAGATGCACTGAATTAAGAACTTTCAGGTATTTTTGAAGCTTCCATTATCTGTACCCAAAATGTATAACTAAATTTTAATTTTATTGGCGCTTCCATATTTTTTAAATACGACTTGTCAGTCCAATATGCCCTCTGCTGTGCAGGCCATTCAAATGGTGATTAGGATCATATAATCATCTTTACACCTAACTTACATCTTTCATAAATTGCTCAATTTGCACAGCACACCTTATAGAAACTGGCCTGAGTTGGGAACCGTCCCATTTATTAATTAAGGATTAAGTATTTTTAGTCACATACTTGTCACACAAAGACCCAATCAATAACATTTCTCATTTTAAATTTTTTTATGAGGTGATGTGCAGTTTTGCTCAAAACAAAGCTTTAGGCAAGCATTCACTCATATAATTTTTGTGATGTATTGGTATTTATTCCAAACATTCTATTGTACAGAGACTTCTGGAAAGCTACCTTTAACCTTTGGACTCGTCGCTTCAGTTGGACCAAAGGTTCACAAGGTCAACCTGGATCTTGTCGTACAAGGAACACTGTAGCTGGTTGGATCGGCGATTCATTGCGTCTTATAGGATCAAGTAGAAATGGTCTTCTTCCTTCTGAAATTTTGCATGTTTTATCTTTGCTTGGGTATAGAGGAAAAACAGCAGTGAAGCCATATGATTGGATGGTATTTCAGGTTCGATTTATAGTGATTTTATGTTCAGTGTTAATTACTTCAAATGAAACGTAGATTTTAGGAAAAATTCAGATTCTAATATGAATTATGAAATTGAACTATTGTTTTCTTTAATAATGTCTTTCACTTATGGATGATTGCCTAGTGCAGTGGTGGGCAATTATTTTTCTGAGTGGGTCAGTTACAGATTATAGACTTGATTACTGGGCCGAATACTCAAAAACTCAATATGAAACTATGAATAAAAAACAGTTTATTCACAAATAACTAGCAGAACAGCTAATGTGCAACAAACGGTCAGTGTGCCAAGTGGCACATTATATTCAGGTGCAGATAATACATCGGAAATTACGGTCTATATTTCAGCCGACGAAGTGGGGTGGATGAAACACTTTGGTGGTAGTTAAAGCGTCGGATTTAACTAGAATCAAAAATAGTAGCTCATTGCGTATTAGTGGCTGATTGTACAGAGCCTTATCTGGATAGAAGGTCTGAAAAATGCCAGTGAAAAAAATTGAAGAATTTTAAAATGTCCAAACCGATTCCTAAAAGAAGGTTTACCTGATATCTCGTAAAGCATTGCATTTCGTGACAAATATGTAAATAATTTTAAATTTTTCAATCATAAATTATTCAATCATTAATTATTTTTCAGAAAGCTGCTGGTAATGCATTCTCCACACGACCTGAAGGTACAGTGATGCTGGCACACACAGAAGTTCGACATGCAATCAAATTTTTTCTGCTCGGAGCAATATTGCCGACTGCTACTGCATCTGCTGCATCAATGGGGTAGGCTATGTATATTATTTTGATTGTATTTTTCCATGTACGGTATATTGAAGGATAAGACGATAACATAAGAAATGCTTTCCCCCTCCTACCCCCTAATAAAAAAACGCTATGATCGCATATGCTGCATAGTGCAATAAACAACTAAAACACTGATATGCTGATGCATATACTAGGTGACTCAAAATCAGAACCCACGTCATTTAGAACACATTCTATGGAGAGCATAAGTTTTGTCCTAAGCGTTACTGAAACCTATGGGCATAATCATACACATACAGAAGTTCGGTGTAAAATTAATTTTCTTCATTTTCATAGAAGTAATTGAGAAATCCATGGGGGGTCTGTTCATTGGGAGTCACCCTGAAAATGCTGTATGAACCTTCATAAAGCGCTGGGCTGGAAGTCCTGGTATCTCATTTAACTGTTGATGCTTTGTATAAGTCAGTTGTACTGTAGCTTTCTTGTTAATCACATCCAAACATAATTGTAGGATGTATGTCAAGTTTATTGGGATGAATCACTTTTTGCACCACATACCTATTAGCAGCAGTGGTTCAAATTTTTTGTCAGCCGGTTCCATCACAAAAGTCATATTTTTCGACCGGTTCTGTTACATGTTATTTTTTTTGTAATGCTGACCCGTTCGATGATCTCATAAAATTCGGTGAGACGGTTGGCTGAATCCCACCACTGCCTATTAGGCATTTAACATTTGGGAATTCCTATTAATCTAATAATGTATTTTGATGATTGCCAAATTCTAATTTTTGAAAAGTATTGCCTCACTGGATTGTTCAAATCTAATCATTTTGTGTTTTAGGAGTGTGAACCTACAGCAGCATTATCATTCTCTTCTATCATCATATTTCCTCAAATATGGAAGTCAACAACGGAAACTTATTGAGTTACCATGGCAACTTGAGCAAGGGGGAGATCATATATTATTATACCAAGTTCTTAGTAAACCAAGGTAGCTGCTATTTTTTATTAACTTTGAATTGCAGGTTCTGTGAGTGGGCAGTTCTAGGAAGATTTGCCGCTAGAAATTTCGCTGTAGGAAATCTCGCCACAGGAAATTTCCCTGCATAGGAAAATTCGCTATATGAAAAATAGGCCGCAAGAGCATTTTGCTGTAAAACTAGTATTTGTGATAAAAATAGTTAGGTTTTTGAAGTACCTTTTTATTTAAAAAAGATTCATTATTTAAGAGCATACCCTAACCCAGGGGTCGGGAACCCATGGCCCGCGAGCCATATATGGCTCTTTTGGTGACTTACTATTGTTACTAGACTTCAAACTATTTCATGGCCAAATTTGGCAAAAAATTCCCAATACGTTTGACAACGCGGGCCCAACGCATGTTTATGTTATGTAAGAGAATTACCAGACAGGCATTGTGACAAAACATGGGGATTCTGGAACATATATTGTGACATCACAAAGCGATAGAGTTTTAAAATACTACGGAGATGCCTAAACGAAAAAGGGTGATGAGTATCGTAAATTTCAACTTGGGCTGCATGTGAGCAACCGTTCAAGGCCCGCAGCGACAACATGCAGCATCAGAAGTCACATTAAATGTATATTGACATGGAATGTGTTGACTTTTGAGTAAACGTTTCAGGCCTGATTAAGTGAAGAAATGTTATATGGCTCGCACGGAAATGCAATTGAAAATATGTATATTTTAGGGCTCTCTTGACCAAAAAGGTTCCCGACCCCTGCCCTAACCCTATACACCTAACTGTTTTTATCACAAATACTTGTTTTACAGCAAAATGCTTTTGCGGCAAATTTTCCGAACATGGGGTGGGCCGAAGCTTGCAATGTAACTTGCAATATTCTTTTATTCATACATTCATTCATTTTTCAATCAACAATTTTAATGATTTTCTAACATACAGTATTAAGTTTCACAAAGCAAGTCTATAATGATTACCGGTAGTTCTGTAGTGGTCTCTGTATATTTCCAATTGCCATAAAATTTGAATAATTTATCCATCAAATCATAGCATGATAAATGTGTACTGAAACTGGATCATAAATGTCTCACATCATTAGATCATCGTTTTTTATTCAAAATTCCAGTTTGATAATTTGAATTATGCTTTTTTAGGTATTTTGAATCAATTTGTAAAGCGACAGAAGATTATCCATATCTTGATATGGATTTAATCAGATATTGGAAAAAATTAAATAAAGTTGGTTTCAATCCACCACATTACTTACAAGTGAGTAAAATTACAGGGGGTGGTCGCAAGAAAACGTAAAATTTGTCAAACAGCTATTCATTTTTTCAAAGAATAACTTTTACAGAGTTTTTTAATTATATTCCATATGTAGATGCTCAAAATGCCGTCCATGCACTTCAGAGCAGTGTCTTAACCCAGAAGTCCAAGCTTGTGTAGTGCTTTAAAGTTTACCGTAACTTGTGGGATATCATTCCAATTCTACCTATGCCTATGCGCATCTTATTCATAATCTCATCTGGCCTTCAAATTTTCTGCTTTTCTGGCGATCATCGTGTATTTTGAAATATTTTATTCTTAGTCCATGAAACTATTTGTCATATCAATCTCTTGAGTTGTCCTCGCAAGATGAGTCTTACTACCTTTAATAATTGTGAGCTGCTTAGAATGACTTTTATAAAAGTATGGGTGAAATAAATAGTAGGTTCTAAAGCAGACAGGTAACACTTTCAACTGCTTCGATTTAGAAAGAAAATTGAAAAAAGCAGTTCGATTGAATTACTATCTAATTCAAAAATCTCTTAAATTAGATAGAATAGTCAATTTTATTCTTGCTACAGTATCCTTGCATAATACGCATACGGATCCACTTGCGCAAGATTATATAGTAGGGAAAAGTAGTTAGTATTGCGTAACCCCAACCGATAGTTACTATTGAACGATATTGCAACATACTCAAATGTACAATGATGTGGTCACAAATTTAATTATAGAAATACCTCATAATACTCTTATTCCCATAATCTCTGTCTTGTATATGCTGTATCTTCAGCTCTGACCCAAATATTCATGGTATCTGATAATTTGTATGGTATGGTTTTTCCGAAATTGAATAGATATTTAATATTAAATCTCATCCAGTCTCAAAATATTGTGCGTCACTCGCCCCAAATTTGTCCCACTTGTGTATGGTGTGGGACACAAGGTACAAATGATACAAGAAGGACAAGTGTAGGACACACGGGAGAAGTTATACAGGAGTGGGTTTGGTGTTGGAAAAGTGATACAAGTGGGGCACATAGGACAAGGGGTGCACCTGCAAAAAGGACAATATTGTTTATCATTTTAGATGATGGTCGAAAAATCAACTGGATGCTATGAAAGTGGACTCATGTCTAAGCGTTCAAGTTTGATACCAGGAGCACAAAACTGGCAAGCTAGTAAACTATCAATTACTGCTCCACGAATAACAAGAGCAGCATCAATAGTCAGTTCCGTCTCTCCCTTGAAAAGACCTTCGATAATTATCATCACCCAACATGATGATGTTAGACGTCAAAGCACAAGTATTTGATTCTGTATTACTTTATTTTAGATGGTTTTTGTTTTATTAGAGCAATTTGTAGTTGAAACAGATTAGCTATGAACTTGATGACACAGTTATCACCATATGGTACTTGATTGTGTTGGTCATATATATCAGGGCTGCCCAAACTGGGATGTTGCGATCCTGCAGGGCGGCGCGCAACGAATTTTAGGGGTCTCGAAGAATACACCAATATCACACAAAGCACAATTATAGACTTTTGATTCGAAACACATTTATTAGAATAAGTGCAAAACATAAATCTCACATTTTTAGAGAATACGTAGGATCAGAGAAGCGGCGCTGTTGTATAACAATGCCTATTTAAAGGGGTGCTTAAAATTTTGGGATACCCTGATATATATCATACATTTGGGAATCATTAATCTGATTCTATTTGATTGTTTTTTTTTCAAAGCAAAACTATATAATTCACATTTACAAACTTCTTCCTTTTACTCATTTAAATTTTCTAAAAAATACTCATGGGTATAACACTCTTTTTCAAATCTTATGCAATAGTTTGAGCCAAATTTCATTCTTGTTTTAAAACTACTTTTCACTTTTACAGTTGGCAGCAGATCTGAAACTGGTGATTTTGATATGTCAAGTGAAGCTGGTAGTTGTAGTTTTTTTATTACGGAAAGTGAAGGAGAAATCTTTAATTCAGGTATTGATTATATTTTTTGGTGCTCCCGAAGTATGTGCACCATGATGGCGCACAACCTGAACCCTAACCTGGTACACATACTATGTTCAGGTTGTGCGCCATCTTGGTACACATACTTCTGGAGGTCCTATTTTTTTATTGGACAGAGTTCTTCTGGACTTTCGGAACTTGTTCTTTCAAGAGAGACCTTGCTTTAAGCAAATTTCCTCAAAAAAACTTATCGACATGTTCTATAATATTGTAGTACAAATTTGTAGCTTCGAGAATGTTTACTGATTGTCAAAAATCAAGTAATTTTATTTCTCAAGCAACCAAATTAGATACTCCTAAACATTGGTCCTAGTAAGAATAATTTCAGTGTTTAAAGATTATCAGTAGAAAAGGTGTCTTTAAATACATATTACCAATGAATATCCGAACTAGTTCGAAAATTTAAAAGGTTGGAAAAAAATGCAAATTTGATGATGGAAACGTCCTATTCTATGGACATAGAAGGTTGTGAGTCATTAATAGGATGTGACAAATGCTAAACATGAGTATTAAAACCGAACAAAATTTGCTTGAGAGCTTCAAGAAAAAAATGTAATTGTAAAATATTGTAATGTGACGTGGACCAAAAATACTATTTATTTTATGTGTCCACAGGATGGACACCTGCGGAGGATGATCCGGAAATTCCTATTGATGAGTCAACAATGGATAATGATGAGTCATGTGAACTCAACTACAATGTTTGTATGTTTCTAAAACAACTAGGAAATGAGTTTATTCAAGAAAGCAAAGATGGATTGCTATCATTATCACAACAATTTTTGGAGGTGATACTGAATAGTATCTTTTTTTTTGTACTCTGTTTTTAGTATGGGATTATTTTTGGTCAAGCATAGCCTATTTCTTATCCCCTGGGTAAGGGTGGCCACAAGTTCAAAGTTCAAGTCAAGATATTCTTCAAGAACTAGAATATTTCATCATAAGTGGTTTTTCGAGAGTTTTAATAGCCACTGACATTAGAGTAGAAGTTGTGGCTCCGAGCAGGTTTTAGTTTGACGGAATGAACGCCAAATTGCTCTTTCAATGCTAAAGGTTGCCGACCCATGCAATAGAGTCCTCCCCCGGGATCTCGTATAGTTCAGGTTGTATAAAGAGAAATGGAACCAGATCAGGCCCGAGAAGGAAAAGCTGGAATGTTGTTTTTGCGAATTTTTTTTATGCTGAATTTTTCATTGTTTTGCAGATAAAACCTTTATCAGGAAAACAACAAATAATCCAATTCAAAACATTGTGTAGTTTGGCAATGATGACGAATGATGAAATTTCTGATAATTTACATTTTGCAAGATGTTTGTTCGAAGAAGGTTTAGAAATCTATGAATCAATATCAACCAATGTTTCGTCTGCAACATTTTCTCATGATCTATTCGATTTGAAAAGTAGGCAGAATTGTGTTTCTTTTGACGCACCGGTAATAGAAGAAAGCTGTTGGGTGTTGTGCTGTATAAAATTTCATTATTTTTAATTGGAGTTTTTCGTTGATGTATTGGTTTGAGAAATTAGATCGCAGTATATCACAGATGAAAAGCCACTGATGTGGAATGAAATATGTTAACAAATTGAGTATAAGGAAATTTTATGAATCGAGAGTTTACAACAAGGCAAATTTTGACAAAAAAAAATTGAAAATAAATATTATAAGGAAAAGGTGTTCTTTGAGCTAGTATCTGATCATAGTTTGAAGCAATATTCGTCAAAATATTTCAATAAAAAGTTCCAGGAATTAAATAAAATATCTGTTTTCTAATTTTCTCAAAACAGCTTTTCAATTTTTGTCTTTTAAAGTTGAAACCCTCAAATGACATTCTTTCAAACGACAATTATTCATGCCTATTACTCTGAACAAGGTCTTGTACAAGCAGCCATTGATAACTAGTGATATTTTTTTATTTAATATTTGAACATAATAGGATTTTCATATTTATCTTGGAGGAGAGGTGTACCAGCGTACCGCCAGCCTCTGGTTACCAGTCCATGTCAGGTTTGGGAATAGTTATCCAGTTATTTGTTTTGGATGCATGGACTTGACGGTGGAGGAAACCATGCAGGATTATCAGATGTGAGATGGCAAGTGTATTTTTACCCTTAGCCTGATGAGCGACAGCCGAGCTATGAGACAACCGATATTGACTAGCCAATTTTAACTGCACCAGGTTTTGCTAATTTCATTATATTTATTTAGTATCTGCTTGTCTTCATTTGGCTCAGATGTGCATTGATAACAGAAATTATGAAAATGCAGAGAATTTATTGAAAGAATCTGTAGATGCATCACAACAATATCAATCTTCAACACAAGAAACAAATGTTGCTTTCATGTGTGCTAAATTATTTGTTGCTCAAGGTATGTCTATAAGCTGAGTATCCTAAGTTCAAATCCTACTTAAATTACTGAAAAACTCATTTCTAACTTCATCATCAAACTTTATCATATGCAATAAATGAATTTGATAAACTATAATGAATTTATAAGATATCAATATGTCTGTTTTTTATAAAATTGGGTTTTGTATTCATTCCTGAGAATAGAAAGTTGACAAATCTGCTAAATCTTGTTATATATCTGAGTAACTCTTGAAGTCCCAAAATTAACATATAAAATTAAGCTTTATCTTGGCAGTTTGTATATAATATTTGAATATTTGTGGCCAGAGTTTTTGAACTGAATTATGTTGGTGCCACAAATTAAATAGCCTGAGTTCGAACCCCATGAAAACTATCTCACTCAGTATTTAAAAATTGGGTAAGCAATGCCAAACCAGGAAAATATCAATCCTTTAAAAATTGTAGTTCCTTACGTGTATTGGTGTCTGATTTTTCAGGATGATAAAAGATGTAAGAAGGCCTCATCAAAAATTTGGCAATACTAAAGTAAAATCTTTTGTTAACTTTCAAGTAAAATATCTGAAAGCACTTTTGTTGTTCCAGGTTTATATCCGCATGCTGAAACATTGTTTAAACGAGTTTTTACTGAGCGTTTGCAATGGTATGGACCTGCACATATATCTGTTGCTATTGTTTTGTGTGAATTAGGTGATTTATATTCGATTTCATCAAAACAAGGACAGTAAGTGAATTCAAGTATTCTGTATTTTTTGTATAATTTTGATGTACCAAGAAAAAAACTTGTCGTTCCCACTACCCCTTTTAGCAAAAGACTGATAATTTTTATCATATTGCCGTCGTAGCATTTTATGAACCAATAATATATGAAGAAGGTATTAAAAATCAAAATAGAATTGCGTATGGCAAGGTTTGAGTTTTATGAGTTTTTAAGAAATTCAATAATTGAAGTTTGCTCTATTGCTAATGTGAAATGAACGGATATGATAATACTGAAAGAAAAATTCTTCAAATTCAGAGCAATCGAGGCTTTAGAATAATTTCCAAGGTAACATATAGATTTATCCTTTTCATTGCCGATATCCGAAAAAAAGGATGTTGAAATAAATATTGAACCTGGTACTACGATTTAATTTAAACTTGTAGCTTCATGCTAAGGATATGATTGTAAGGAGTTGATAACTTTTCCAAAAAAATTTTTTCATCCATTTTGATTTGATTGGTGTCTTCTCAAATTTATCACATGAGGTAAATTTCTTCATTCTGATTCAGTTTCAAATTGATTCTTTGAATTTATTTTAGGAACGAAGGTCAAAGAATTTCACTTTTGGCTTACAAACAAGCATTACATATATTTCAACATAATTCAGCTAAGGATAGTGAAGCATCTGTTCTGCATAAAATAGGTGAGATTTCATTTTCTCAAAGTCTGTTATGATCAAGAACTTTGACGCACTGTAACACCACAGTAATGGCTATTCATCGGACCAATGGCCTAGTGGTTGATAGGTGTGAATTAGCATTGTATGAAAATTTTCTTGTAAAGAGTGCTCAAATCATAAATATTAGTTGATACAATGTTCCTTGTCCATCCATCATGTAAATTAAAATTTTCATGTTTTATCAAGATATCTCTTTTAACCATGAATCCACTTTCTCAAGAGGACTATTTTAAATTTGCCCGAAGAGTAGAAACCAAGATATATAAAATAGCATCAATAATATAGTAGGTTAATAATAGTATAGATAATAATAGTAATATAGAATAAATAATAATAACTAATATCAGGGGTGGCCAACCTGCTTTCGATCGCGATATTCGGCACGTTCATTTCTTAACCTTGGCAGCGGCAAAATTTTCATTTGTTACTTAATAATATGCTCTATCAGACTTTCCCAGACTCAAATAGTGTACATGAGACGCGATCGACTACTTGAGACATGGAGATCGACCGGTCGATCGCGATTGACTTGTTGGCCACCCCTGACTTATATGATGTAGTGATCCATTTAGACACAATTACAATTTTTACAGCAACAATATGCTATACGTTACAATGAGTAATATGGAAATATTTTTCGTGAGCTGTTAGTATGTGATGATTATAGTATATGCATTCATCAAAAGCAACATAGTCAAGTTTAATTGCATTTATAGCAATGAAGTAGTGTGTCACAATCAAATTTAATGTTAATATGTACTTTCTAGTTTTCTAGGTACTGTATTATTTAGGCGTAATTTGCATTCTACACATCACTGCATTTTTTTGATACCAGTATTTTTTTAACCCAGGTAAATTGTTGAAAATGGAAGGTTCTCTCTGTTCAACACAAGAAGCCAAAGAATGTTTAGAGCATGCAATGGATATGTACATGACACAAACTAACACACAACATACTAATGATATACCTGAAATAAGCAAGTAAGTTTTGACTGAAACCAATTCGGATTTTGTTTCAACCTGGTGAGATTGAGGACTACTTGAATGCCAAGCTTGTTGAGTGCCACAACTTTTAATTTTATTTTGTCATAGAATTCTTAGGAACAAGTTTATTCTCTGTTGTTAAATAGAATTTGATGGAAATGGTCTTTGATTGAATGAGTTATTACAGTATATTTTTTGTGATGCTTATACACACGCGTCTTTCACTGCCAACAAGGCCCTTATAGAAGCAGCCAATTTTACATAATGATAGGTAGGAGCTACTCATTAGTTGTGAAGAATGTAGTCTTTCCCGTCGGCATTGCCAAGTACTTGGGGTGTGAAGCCGAGATGTCTAATCTGCAATCGTATTTGCACGAAGATAGTACCATGATTATGACTTTGTAACCTGGTTATAACTACCTTCACAGCTTGTTTTAGAATAAGAATATGCTTAACTAGTCATTCAAAAGAATTATTTGTGAAGGTATAGCATTTCATGCTTTCCTATTACCCGACCATAAGCCTTATGAAGTGCCTTTCCCCTTTTTCCTAAATAAAATTCAATAACACATGAATTGAACTTTTTTTCATTTTTTCTAACAGCGACATTCGAAAATTATCTATAAATCTCAAGAGAGGACAATACAAATATGGTTCTGCAAAACCACCCGATGAAAGAACCTATGATCGTCCATACAGTACATTGTCTTGGCATGAACATGATTTAAAAAAAATTCTGAAAAATCGTCCATGTACTGCACCGGCTGATCTTGAAAAGGTAGATAGGGAGATAGTTCTTATTTAGTCTTAGTGCGCTGATCGAAATATTAGGATGCAACATTATACATGGTTTTCACAAAGTTCTCAACAATCCTAACTAGATTTGTTTTATTTTAATCATTGTTAGGGTGTCACCTGTAGGGGCCAACAATTTATATATTTCATCAATAAATTAATTTTGCAATTTAAAAAATTTCAGCACTTTATCAACATCTTGTGTCCTCATTTTGAAAAAACCAGAATGGCTAATATACCATATATATATTTGAGATGACTGTGATATTTCATCATCACATCAGTACAATCTATTCATTTTTCGCAAGTTGCGCAACTGTGCTATTGTGCAGTACTAATGAAAAATTTGCGCAAAAAAAATCTCACGCACTGCAACATTACGTTTCCAAAGCATGGCCTATCATATTTTCCAACGCCTAATAATGAATCAACTGCATATCAAAATTCAGCGGTAAACGTTGACAAAGTGTATAAACATTGGAAAAGCACGAAAACAGGAAGAAGCTAATATAATTAAATGTGTAATTTGTTTGCATTCTGATAAAATATTATACTATTGTAATTTGTAATATTTCACAAAGTTTGTAATTCATTTAGGAATCTGCTAACTCTTCAAGCTCACTAGAACAAACATTTCCTCAGTGTATAGTTTTCTTAGAGGGAACACTGCTTTTAAGCAATGCTAGAAAGTTGTTTCATCTATGAAGTGAGATATAAACTGCTTCAAATCTCGCACCAACCAGTATTTACTGACGGATAATTCTGTATAGTCTCTGTAGCTCTTTAGTGACTACCCATAACTTCACTCAGAAATCAATCTCCTTCATTTATGTGAGTGCATGCGCCCTGCTTTGAGCAAATTTCTTGTAAAATGCAGACGAAAGCAGAAAATTTACACAATAGTAAGTAGTCAGAGTGTTAACAAGTTGAATTTTTCATTTTCCAGAATACGAAATATGGAAAACAATCAAGTTTTCGAGCCATATCAGGAGGTACGAGTCGTCCATACAGTGCTTTCAGTACTGCATCATATGGCAAACGTGTTGCTGTCACGCCGAAAGAAAATACACGAAAAAAGGTAAATAAGATATTTTGAATTTGGCTCTTAATTTGGTATATTGATTTCCTCCTTAGTAGGCACGCTAGTAAATCATTATTTTCCAGCACTTACTCAAATATTTCTTAACAGAAACTGTCATTTGATTTGTTTCCTTGATTGAATATGTTACAAAATTTTCCCCTGTATTTCAACTTTGAATGTTATAAACGAATTCCAAAGACATCTCCGTGTTTTTGCTGATTGTAATCTAAGACATATTACTTGTAAGCTCAATGTTATAATATTTCGTTTTTGCTTTAATAACACTTCTAAACGAATTTTTTGCATTGAACTATATTTACTTTTTTCAGCCATCATCTGCTTTATTGAAGCATTTGTCTGAAATACCGTCATCAATCCTTTCTGAAGGGAAGTCTTTGGCAGCGCAAGAGAAAGGTAGGCAGGAAGTGTGATTTCAATATTGGAATGTAAATCTCCCTTCCATAAGTTTGTGAACGGGATAGGAGAGATGGCATACTGATTAAAGCATTAGACTCAACTATGATGGTACCACAGGTTGATATCTCGGATTTAAATTCCACGCACCCACCTAACCTAGGTGTAATAACTTGGGTAGGCAAGTCCGAACAGGAAAAATACTGATTATTCCAAACTATAGTAAATCCTTGCTTCGTAGTAGCCAATTGTGCTGAGTGAAAAACGTATAAATACATTGCATAAACAAATTATATAGGGTGTCCATAAAGTCTTAAAAAATTTTAAAATCGCAAAGGGAATTTATAGATACTGTATATTGTTTTGACCTTCATAGATGTATTAAATGAAGTAAAAACACTTAAACAATTATTAATATAAAAACAACAAACCTGGTTAAGATATATTGAGAACTGACTCCATAACAAAATTGAAATTGTAGAGGGACCTCATGGAAACCCTGTATTTGTATTATTGCTATTTTACCAAATTTGTTATCAGGCGAAGGATTTTAATAAATAGCATTTGCTATTCTTTTAGGGAAAGCAAAGGATTCCACACATGGTCTCACTTATGATAGTGGTGACCATTTAGCATTGAAACCCGATGTTACAATCCATGGTGGTTGGATAAATCAAGCTGATGATGACAACCATCTAGATCTTGATCATCATGATGTTGTTACATTTAAAGAAGATGACACAAATGAAATTCCTGTCATGATTATTCCTGCCGGTAGACAAAGTCGATTGTCTGTCAAACTTGAAGTCGACACTCTCAGTGGAAAATCAATGCCGATATCATCTTTGAAAAGGCATTCACAACGTTCCTATAAGGTGCGGTATTTGTACTTTTTTTATGAGGTGTTATGACTCTAGACAAGCAGAAGCTACCAATTTTGGTTGGACTGTATTCCAGTTCGGCATTGCGTACTTCACTTCGGTAGGGGGTCGTAACCCAAAATCTTAAACTTGTGGTGTCAATATAGTCAAGTTTAACTCTAAGCATAGGACCCTAGGCCAAGTGATACTGTCATCAGACAGCGATAGCAAAAAAGGATCAATCTTTAATAAAGTCCCCATCATAAGGATATTTAATGTTTGTTGAAGCCTTCAACTCAACAAACTCAAGTATTTTCTAATGGTTGTAGATCTGACATGGGGAAACTATGGCCCACTGGCCAAATCCGGCCCGCTGGCTAATTCAATCTGGCCCACCTGATGCTGCCATAAATTTCCGCCTTTATTAAATTCTGCATGCACTACATAGTTGTTGTTATTGAAATCTGTATGGTGTTAGCTTACATGGCCCGCCAGTCTAGGTGGGCAAAATTTCTGGCCCTTGGTCTAAAAACCTTGCCCACCCCTGTTGTAGATGGTGTTTGTGACAATTTTGGTTGGCATTGTTCTAAAGACTCATCCAATGCTTCCATAACAAAATTGTAAATTCCCAATCCTTTACATCTTTTTTTAATTTTACAAGGCTCGGTCAGAATTTTCTTTTCGTAGTGGAGACAGCATGATGATGAAATCCGTCCTTCAAATACGACATAATGCACATAAAAAACATTGTCACATTCCATCCGGTCCAAATGCTCTTTCTCTCGCCGTCCATGGATCTCACAGCACAATAGAAGCCGTTCTTCCTCCACCTAAATCACCAAGGCAAAATGTCGCATCTTCTGGTCTGAGTCATAAAACTGCCTGGTATAATGTTCCTGGTCGATATCCAATGCCTGGACATGTTCTACCATCGAAACATAAACAGGTTAGCAATGAATGTTGTTTTTTTGTCCCCAGAGCCAAAAAAGCCAAGGCACCCATTTTTTAGGCTTCGCATGTGACTATGGACAGTATTTTTGCCTTCTTTGCTTTGTACATTCTCGTTAAAGCTTTAGAAAGTTTCAAAAAATTTTTTAATTGAAATAATTTAAAAATCGTCAGAGTCATTCCATACAGCAGCCATTGTTTACTTATTTTTTATATGATGTTCCAAACAAGGCCACGTATAAGCAAGTATCTACTAATATCAATGTGTAAAGAGCAACTATTAACGAAATCTTTCTAGTTTAGCATTGCCTATACACCATGGGCATGAGATTTCAACCCAAGATGTGTGCCTGTGATGCCAACACAGTCAAGTCTAACACTTTAATGGCTAGACCATTGTGCATACAAATTGCAGCTGTAGTTTATACACCTCCCAACTATAATGCAATAATTAGAGTATATTAGTCAGGAAAGTGAATGTACCCCCTGCCCATATGTTTCAGTCCTTTTACACAACTTGATGTAAATGCGGCGAACAAAATTAGTTATCTACATATAGGTACACTCACTTTTGGAGCGCCCAAACTTATATCATATCTAAATTTTGAGGACACCCACTCAGCATTGCTATTTTAGTTAACACATTACCATTTCAATACTCTTATCCATATCATTCCCTGATATTCAAATGTACCTAGGTTAATTATACAAAAAATTACTTTTAGATTCGTCCAGGCAGTGCATTCACTTCAAATTCAAACAAGGCGTAAAGATGATGCATTTGATATATTTTTTGCAGAAGAGATTCAACTAATTTTCATCGAGATTATTTAATTGTTGCAGTATTGTTTTGTATTGCCAGATTTGTTTCTACTTTTTATGCTCTGTGTCTTCACTGATATCAAATCCTTCCATTGAAATTCGCCATATTCGAAATGTTTTTTTTTGCCTAGTCGATTTGTAAGGAATCCTCATGCACAAACTGCTGGTTTAATTCATAATGCTTTTATTTTTCAAGTAAATTAGATTTGATGATATCTTCTGGGTTATAAAGCAAAAGGTTACAGTAAGCTTTGAAAGTCAGATCCATGGTAAAATAGGTTATTCGCACAGAAATTTTTTCCTTCAAAAAACACCAATCCTGTATGAAAGTCGAACAAAGAAACATTTAAAGAGGTTTGCAATGAAACTCTATGTATGTGCTCCATATAGCCTAGCTCAGAGGTTCTCAAACTTTCATTACCCACTTCCAACGTGGCCGCCTGCTCTAATATTATAAAATCAGCTAACTTTGAGAAACCTTGGCCTACTTCAAACTTTACATCGAATAGATGAAAGTTCTTTTATTTATCACAAATGTTCTTGCTTGTTTACACTGATCTAGACATGATTGGATAGTTTCTGTAGCTTATATTAGCGCTGTCTATTCCAGGAGTAAACATATACCTTTTAAATACTTTGTAATAAATTGCTTTTAATGTTGTAATTACCTAACTGTGAATACACCACATCAGCATCCCATATCTAACTTTTTACATCACCTCTACTAGCATTATCCTATTGAAGAGCCTAAGAAACCTACACTATGATTTTTATATAATATATGCTTGGTGACTTCGGAATATATTTTATTTATTACTCACACTTTAAACACAATATTTTTTTATACCGGTATGTATTAATACTGTGATCTTATATACCAACTACAATATAATGTATATTATCAAAGTTTCATTGTTGCCTTCTCCGCTTATTGTATAAAAAAATGTGTTTTTTTCAACACATGACAAAACATCTCGAACTAAAAAGTAAAAAGATAATATGTGGACAGAATTGATATGTAAATACCTTTGAAAATTCAAATAAATTAGCATATATTTTGCAAACATGCTACCAAGCTGAACAAAAAGATAATATGTGGACCGAATTGATATATATGTAAATACCTTTGAAAATTTAAATAAATTGGCATATATTTTGCAAACATGCTACCAAGCTGAACGACTAGATGAAGAATTCTCAGCTCATAATAAATATCTTCTCATATTCAGTCAAAACAATTCATATATCTTCTTTTTTTATTTTTGAAAGCAGCTAGACAAACAAATGTATAAACAAAACACTTTAATACAGTGGTAATAACAAGACAAGATAAAATCAGTGCTGTGAATATGTTGAAGAATTAGTAGTTGTGCATCAGTCAGTCTTAAACTGCTTATAACCAAGTATATAACATAAATAAAACTGGCTCGCTTCTACATAAATAAACAATTGTAGCTCTGACGTAAAAACACTTCATACAATTGCATTTAAACAGTCAACACACGGATGATCAAAATGTCTAAAACGTTATACTTTATGTGTGATGAATTTAAAAGTTAACATGCGATGTAACATGTGAGAAATAAATCGGTTCAGTTCAGTTCCACACCATTTCAAAAGAGAAAAGTAAAAAAACGTTTCATAGCAAATCGAGGATGTCTAAACTTACGAGGAACCGCCTCTCTATATAATATCTCCAGGTTGTCTCTAGGGTTGGGTGAATCTACTATCCTAATTGAAAATAGTACAAGTATACAAAACACAAAATATAAAAATCAGTCTCCAACAGAAATAATCTAACAAACACGAAGATGAGAACAGTTCATTGGATACCCTTTAAAATCTTAGTGAAGTGAAACTTCCCCCAATCTCAAGTTGCAATGTGTGTACGAAACACACCTAAATGGTAGACAAGTATCATAACTAATTCATTTTAGCATATTCCTTTCTAATTTGAATCATGGATATATGGAATTATATTGCATAATCAGTTATGCTTCCACTTGCAAATCATGTTTTTGATTTCTCAAAAGTAAATTTTTAATTAGTGTTTGGCTTAATCACTGACATTGATCAGTAACCAACAGAGTTGTGAATGATCAACAAATAAGTATTTTACTGCATAAAATTAATTAGTTGCAATAATATAATTTCATTGAAAACGAGTACGACTAATATAATAATATTCAAAAAAATCTATAACACAAAAACTGACTATACTGAGAGTTTAAGAATATTAGACATGTCTAAAAAAGTAACTTCAGAACAACGATTTATGTATTTCTAAACTAGGAACTGAATCTAATACAAAGAATGGTGTTGATGATGAATGAAAGATAGCATCCACAAAGATATATTTACAATGTGTAATTCTAAAATGAAATAATTATGATTAAGAATGGAACTGGCTTCCTGTTATTGTTTAGCATTTAGACTTAGAGGAAGCAGTGATGATTATTTGTGTGAACCCTTTTTAAAATGTTGCAATAATCAGCAAACTTATTTTTGTTTTGAATGTAAGAAGACTGCTGCAAATGGGTAACATGCCCCACAGCTGACAACTAGCGCTCGATTTTGTGTTCCAATAGTTATTTATTAGATTTATGTAATCTTATATTATCAAGTTCTTGTGTTTTTATAGAGCTTATAAGTTTTGCATGGTTTTCTGAAATGGAGAAACTTCTTGTTGTTAGGGTCAAAGTTCATTAGAAAAGAGAACTTGTTCCAAAGATCTAGAATCCAATCACTGAGTACAGGGTGATGTGAGAACATTGAGAAACTTTGTGAACCAAATTCTAGCTACGTCAAGCCACTACAATAAGAGATTGTACAACAAATAGATTAGTTATGTGGAATCATACAAAACAATAATTCTTTTGCCTTTTGGGATCATTTAAAACACATTCAATCACAAAGTATTAATATAAAATCTCAGAATAGGAAAGTATTTTGGGCATCCATTTTATATAATGCTCATCTGAATTTATATATTACAGTAATGAAAATTGAAAGAAAAAAAGTACGTTGAGAATAATAAAAGGTAGAATAGTTGATTGTCTTTGTATTATGGATTACTTTCCTTCTTTTCCAGTAATTCCTCAAAATATTTCAATATTGGCTGAAAAGAAAAGAAGATTGAATTATACGGATTATTCAGTGAAGGGTATAACAAAGTATGATGGAGTATATACAACCATTGCAGGGGTAGATGTCCCCGAACCTCGAGTAGAGTCAATTTTGCTACTCGAGATACCGTTAGTATTTGATCGGAGTTTGAGTCAATGAATCAAGCCTTCTCAACAATGAATATAAATAACTACAGCCTTCTAGAATTTTTCAAACACATGACTTATTCCAGAGCTAAGTCTGAGGAATCTAGTGAAAATAAGCCTAGGATAGAAGACCTATTTTAAATAAATGAATAGGCAGTGTACGTTGGTTGAGTCACTCAGATATATATTTCGATTTTTTCATGGAATGATAGGGTTCAGGTTGTGCGTCAATACTTCTGGAGCGACATAAATTGTTCTTAATAGATTCCTATAGATTTGAATAAAATACAGTGATACAGGTTTTATGGGTTCGGCATGGAATTGAAAATTTGGCAAAACAATTTTTTTTTTTCAAAACTCGTATGTACATAAGAAACTGCAGTTAGTCAATCCGTTCTCATCAAAGATATATGTATAAAAAGTGAAAGATAGTTTTTTTGACAAAAATAAATTCTTGTGGCAAGTGCATTGTTAAAATAAAATGTGAGCGGGATGTGTAGCGTGCTACAAAAAGCAATGTGAAATATAGATAGAACCAGGAATCATTAAATTCAATTCCTAACAAATTCCTCTAGCAGATCAAGTACATTGAGCAAACATTTACATACCGGTAGTTTGTTACTAGTAAGCCATCATATAAAAGGGTGACTATGGTGTTAGACATGTTTGACAATGTAAAGTTTGTTTGCAGTTAATGAAGATGTATCAAAGTAAATATAGGACAAAGAGAGAAGGACAATGTTGTAAAAAGTGAATGTTTGAAAATATTGCTGTAATTCCATTTACAAGAAATCGTTTAACTATTTAACCAGAATCATAATTTTAAGTGTGTTGTGTTAGTGTGTGTATAAAGTGCGCTACACTTCAGCTTCCGTTTCATAGCCATTGAGGTTTTCGTCATAAACACAACTATGAAACATCTTCTTAAATGCAGTTTTGCTTAAGTGAGACTCAAGACAATGATATGGGGGGTATCAAATATTAGCATAAACTTTAACATAGAAAATTTCAATTTTGAATTGATACTACGTAAAATTATAAGCATAAATGGATTGATACAGTATACTATAGATACTTGCGTATATACAAGATAAAGAAAGCCTCTACAACATTGAACAGCAAAAAAGTTAAGTGTGGCAACCAAAAATAGACCGCTGGTTGTAAGTGCAACACATTTCTAAAATTGACTGTTCTAGGGTTGATGAAGTGAAAAAGAAAAAAAATCACTACTAAGTAACTAACGTACTTTCTCACCTAGTCACCTCTTTAAATGGATGCTAAACCTATAAATGAAAACCTTAACTAATAATTAGCTAAATTAATTAATTCATGGAAATACTCAAATTATTCAATGATCAACTTCCATTAGGCAAACGACTACTAAAATTTTATATCCAAAAATTAAACAAGGTCACCATGAACACCATTTATTCAGAAAAATAACTAAAGATTCAGTTATTTTGTCAGAATAGGAGACTCATAGCATTCACATGCAGCAATTATATTTAAATGTATGTTTAGACACTACAATTAGCATATTATTCTATTAATTAATATTCCAATTAAACAAACTACAGTTGCCATTAAGCAATTTTATTCAGCTGTTGATTAAAACAAGAAATGAAAAATATTTGGTCGTTCATGTGAAGCGAAAGAATAATTTATTTCTTTTACTAGACTTACCCTTCTATCAAAAGACTTTGCCATATCAATTGCACTTTTTCCATACTGAAAATAAATGAACCGAAAGTTAAATATTACTTGGAATTAAGTTAATTATGGTAATTGCATCTATCTCCAGAAAGCTTAATTTTAGGTAATAAACTGTGTGCATGCAAGGATTTCGAACTGAATATTAGACTCAATTTGGAAAGAATTCTATTCAGTATTATAAACTTTTGATTGAAGGGACAATTCAGAAAATATCGTGGTATAATTTGATCCTTCTGAGCAACTTAAGAAATGCAATCATTTCATTTTGAATGGGATAAAAAACAGAAAACCAATCATGTTACTGTTTATCTTAACTCATTATATACATTGACCTTGGGTCCTCTCTTGAATATTGTGGCCCAATCGCTTTGTAGGCCCAATTCAAACAATATATTCAATATTCCATATTCAAAAATTTTATTTCAGAATGTATTCTGAGTAAAATACTCATTCTTCACTATCCCCTGATCTGGCTCAACAGTCAAAGCTGACATGAGCAAACTACAGCCCGGAGGCCAAGTCCGGCCTGTTGGGTAATTCAATCCGGCCCGTCTGACGCAGCCACAACCAAATTAAAACCAAATTTTGACGTATTAGCCAAAAAAAATAGCTCAAGAAATTTGTTAAGATTACGATTAAATTTAGTTTTGGCACGAAGCTTACTGTTATCTACTTTTGCTTTTGTAACACCGTAAATATTGTTCACAAAATGTACGGTAACTTTTTATGTCACACTTACATGGCCTGCCAGTCTGGGAGGGCAAAGTTGTTGGCTTCGACTCCAAAAACCTTGTCCACCCCTAGGCTAAAGCATAGTTAAATGTGTTGGTATCGCAGGTTACACATCTCTTTCAAATCCCATTCCCACCACCTTATCCAGAGCGAAATAAATTGGGTTGGCAATGCTGAACTGAAAAATTTCGGTCTTTCTAGTACTATAGTACTTCTTTACCTAGTAGTAGCTGCTTGTACAGAGCCATGTTTCTCAAAAAAACGTCAAAAAAATGCAAACAAACCTTATTTTTAGCATCAACATTTGCTCCATAAGTCACAAGTTCTTTTACAAGATCAGTGTGTCCATTTAATGCTGCAATCATGAGTGGTGTTTTGCCATCTTCATCAGATGCATTGACATTTGAACCCATTTTAATTAAACTGTGTGCTATTTTCTTATTGCCAGATAACGCACAACACCTGAGTAATGGCGTCCATCCTGCAGTACGATCTCGGATGCCAATCTAAATGAGGAAGTATCAATAGGAAATAATGACTAAACAGATGTAAAAACAAAATTTAAAAGCTATACACTCTGTTTATTAAAACCAATTTTCATTGAGTTCATGATAAAATATAGCAATATTCTTAAGACACACAAGAAGAATTTTAACTCTGTATGTAATTATATGTGGGAGTTTCACAACTTTTCGAACTCATTTATTTTTGTAATACAAATAAAATCGCAATGTATAAAAAGAAATATTTTTATCTTCATTTAATCAATAAAATATGGTTTTGTTTTTCTGCATATGATCATAGAGCAACTGATTCAACTAGTTGCAATTCTCCATAAGTGTTAATTTTAACACATTCAATCATTTTAAAAATGAGCAGATGAGGAATATTTAAAAAAAAAAGCATTCATCTCAAATCTGGCAACCCCGGACAAAATTATCTAACACCGCATAATTTGGAAACCCCTGATATTATGGTTATATATGGTAAGTGATCATTGAACATTAGTTGGTAGTCAGGTGATATTGGAAAATTTTGTAAAAACAATCAATTCAACATTCAACTGACATTCTTCATAGTCACAACTCACAATACAAAAAAATTACCTTTGCACCATCTGAAACCATCCATTCTACAAGTTCAGGGTTTCCACTATCAACTGCCCAATGCACTGGTGTGCTACCTCCTCTATCCATCACATCCCATGATGCTCCAGATAACCTCAATCTCTTGACAATCTCCAAATTTCCAATGAAACAAGCAAGCATCAAACTGGAAAATATGAATGGTAGAATGCTAACTAAAATCTCATAAAAAAAAATTCCTTTCAAGTTGCTGTGTGTTGTAATTTTAAATCTTGTATTCATTAGTAGCATAAACATTCTCCGTTAGGTGGCTCTATATTATCAAATCTGGAAGAAGAATATAAACTAAATTGGGCGATGTTCAACATAAAAATTTTCATAAAATAATATATATAAATAGAATCTAAATAAGACAATCATATGCAATTGCGTAATCACGAAATATTTTCGTAATATTCGATTTGTTCTGTACATCCGGCTGCATTTCTACCTAATACTACTACAATTTTTGATATAAAGATATCAGTTACAAACCTGTTTTTCCCACTTGCATTCTTAGCTTCAACGTCAGCACCATGTTCAAGTAATATGTTGACAACACTGAAAAGTAAAAATCATGGTTATTAAGAATGGATCAGAAAAGAAAACAACACAAAATCAACTTACTTTAAAAATCCTTTCTGTGACGCATTCATTAAAGGTGTATAACCGAGCACATCAGTAACTTCTATTTGCACTTCCCTGAAATGTGTGAAAAAGAAATAATAATATTTAGCTAGCAATGTCACAGTCACAGCTGTATCCTTGCCTAAAATGTCTATGTAAATAAAAAGTATTCATGAAAATAAGAGGCAGATGCACAAACATTCAACCATTGATAGTGAGTCACAGTTGCCAGGTTAATTCCTACTTTGCCTCTAATCATTTGTGCATTTTAATATCAAACTGAGCTATTGTCTCATCTACGGGGCACAAAGGAGTTCTCTGGGGCCATAAGCGATGGTCTTCACTATGTACAATTTACGATGACTATATTAATTTATTAAGTGAATTAACTGTGACTTATTTTACTTGGTTAACTGGCTTTTCATTATTATTAAGCAAGGTAAATATTATGACTGATGGAAACCCATTAAAAACAAAACAAGATATTTTTATGAAAGAACAAAGAGCCTTGAACTGTTGAAAGCCTTGGATCATGCCAGGTTGCGAGTCAATGCCCCAAACAAAGTTGTATGTATGTATGTATGTTTATTTGCCTCAAAAATGTAACAGTATCTGCATAAAAATAAACTAACGAGATTTATTGCTTTGTTACATGGTTCACAATCTGTTGTACTAAAATATGCCAAAGAAAAATTCTATGTGAGATGACTTCAAAGCAGTGTTCACTATTAGCGCACTTTTTTGCGAAAATTGCGAAGCACTTTCGCAACTTTTTTTAGGGACTGCGAAATAGCACTTTTTTCCGATTTTGAAGAGAAATAGCACTTTTTTCCGATTTTGAATGGAATAAAAATTCAAAGTTAACAAATATTTTCGAGTATTAAGTTGACAAATAAGTAACATACTAGTACTTTTGTAACTCAATTCTGCATATCATAACGTTATTTACCGAAATTCTAACCTATGAGATGCAGACATAGGAGATAAAGCTTTTGCATTAACGGCAAAATTCTTGTTTATAATATGATTATTATACAAGCACACCGATTCCGCTTCTCCGGCAAAAAACGCTCCCGGGTGTACCAGATGTTGGAATACTACGTTTCTTTGAACGATAGTGGTCATGTGACTATCAATGATATCGATGAATTCAAAATTACTATAAAAGTGTTAGTAACCTGTTATAGTCACTTTGGATGAATTGTGACCAAACTGCACGATTTTCAAATCAGGCGAAACTTTTAGCAGCATGTCACAGATTTGCAAAATCACCAAATTCACAAAATACCATTAAGTACCATTTTATTGTAATCACAATGTTGAAAGGAGGTAGCATTTTCCGGAATTTTGCGATATTTACACAACTATTTCTCATTGATGTGCGGACGGGTGGGCAAAATTCAATATTTTTTTGAATCGAATATTTTTAAGGAGTACCGAAAAAACGTGGTGGAACATTAAAAAATCGGCAACAAAGCCTTTTTACTGGTTAATTCCGTTGTAATCGCTAATTGTTCTTGTCACCGATCGTTTTGGGGCGATATCCAGGTTTTGGGTAATCTATATTCCCGCCCTCTCTTTTTTACAAATATGAATTCTTGTGGGTCGGCGGACATCGAAGTTTTATATTTCGGGTTTACCCGTTCGTTCACATCGGCAACAGCTGTTGAAGACATTTGAGGACTCAAATTAACATTTGCGTTGACTTTAATATTACCTATCAAGATTTGTAAATTTACCGTCCCAATTTTATGCGAATGGTAATATTATTGTCCATACCGTGATGCAGATATTTATTAAGACGATAGTTAACTTTCTCATGTTTTACTATGGTGATAAACTCACAAATCTGAAATTGTGCCAATCCTGAATGTTGATTTAAAATAGTCATTGAATAATTCGGCAATAAAGGCATTTCTGGTGGTCATAAGACGAGATGACGTTAATGAACAGCACTTCTTTTACAGGATATTTCACGTATGCGACTTAATGCTAAAAAAATTGGGCTCGAGTGCTTTTTTTTTCGAGTGCTCGAGTGCCTAATAGAGGTCAGGCGCTAATTGTAACTAATTCCCTCAAGTTTCAACGTGTTTTCAACAAAACAATACCCCGGCGATAATTATAGCTGAAATGTTACCGAGCAATTCACAATTTTATTTATGGAATTTGCAAATTCACCAGTTTCTTGACGATTTTGATATTGTCACGCCCTAATTATTAGTGCAAAAAAATACTCCCCTTTTCCGGGGCGGTTTGACGGGTTCTTTGTTCCATCTTCAGAAAGTTCTGACACGGGGATATAGAATACTAAATCCAGAGGGTTGAATCCCTGTCCACTTACTGGTAATTTTCCGTTTTGAAATGCGTGAAACATTCTCTATTTTAAATTAAATGACGTTTGCGGGCTAGAGTTCTCCCCAAAAATGATGTGTTCCAGACGTTAGTTAAGACGATAGATAAAACATTAGATTAATAATTTTCGTGATGCCCCGTTTTCGAAAATACAAAGTTATATCGCAAAAAATGCGTTATGATACATTTGGAATGAAACATTATTTACGGTTAATTCAGATCATATTTTACTCTAAATGACACCTGGTATCCGAAAATACAGTTGTATCTCGAAAAATGTGTTTTGTTACATTTAAAATAAAACATTTTTGCGATTAATTTAAATCATATTTTACTTTTCACGACACCCGTTTCCGAAAATACAAGGTTATATCGCGAAAATGTGTTTTGTTACATTTAAAATAAAACATTTTTGCGATTAATTTAGATCATATTTTACTTTTCAGGACACCCGTTTTCGAAAATACAAGGTTATATCGCAAAATGTGTTTTGTTACATTTAAAATAAAACATTTTGCGATTAATTTAGATCAAATTTTACCATTCACGGCAACCCGTTTCCGAAAATACAAAGTTATATCACAAAAAAATGCGTTTTGTTACATTTATTTTGCATACTCAATAAAATACATATTTTCCCTAATTAAGGTCGTCGATGAATCTGATCCTGTCGTTCAAGCTCGACACACGTTTGGACGAGTGTGGGGCGGTGTTTTGGTCGATAAATTAAAAAGTTGCCACACCTTATTTGTATAACGATAATAACTGAAAATTAAGATTTTATAATAGAAGTGAATTTGTCTCAAGATGGTATTTTACGATTCCTGCCCACAGAAAATAAACACGCTGACAGGCTTGGTTATAATTGATATTCGTTTAATTTATTTTACACTATTAATAACCGCGCCACACCAATTGCGACCATATAAATTGCAGTCGCATCGGTATGGACTGTATGTTTTTGGCGCTCTCACATTAATAATAATTTTCAACAAAACAATACCCCGACGTTCATTAAAGCTGAACTCGTTACCGAGTAATTCACAATTTTATTTACGGAATTTGCAATTTCAAGATCTCACTTGACGATTTTGATGATGTCATGCCCTAATTATTACTGCTTAAATGCCTCAAAATACAACAAATGTAATAATTTTCGACAATAACAGGCGCAACAATTCGTAAACGAGCCGTTGTAACGGAATTCGCGCGATTGCTTTTACCTCTCTTGTTTACAATTTTAACATCCCGCCGGCCATGTATGGTCGAATAAAATGTTCACATATTCGAAACATGACTTGGCCAAGGATAGAAGGGATCACTAGAGAGCTAATAGAAAGTACATACGCGAGGGTATGATATTAATATCGAGAATATTTGTGAGCATATCACAGGACGGAAATATTTTGCACCCGGCTGATTGTTGGCAGAACAACGATACGCTAAAGTTAATTGATCGAATACGGGGAAGTATTTATTTATCATCTCACTTGCGAACATCGAGGTTTTGGCGGAATTGTACGATCATGTTGTTTTTCTTAAATAATAACTTCTAATTACTATTAATGTGAGATTTGTGCATATGAACGATTGAATATCGCGAATGGATGTCCGATATCTGAGAATGCGTATTTCTCTTTCAACATTAATTTTCAGGATATCAGCGTTCATGTGGTCTAATAAAAATTATTTATCAAATGAATTGGTATTTCGATACACTCTCAAAATTATTTGGGATCCACTATCATATCATTCGTTTATTTTTTATATTCATGTTTTTCTCAAGAATCACCCTCGTTATATTTAGTGTACCTTCGCAAAAGAAAACTCTTTGGTGTCATCGTTCCTATTAGTTTAATTGAAATATATGGAAACCTCGGGCAAGTGGCGTTGTGATGCGAATATTTGATACTAGGTCAGCAGCATTACAAAGAGTGCTATTTATGAATGCTGAAAGTACATGACATTACTAAACATTTTGCCAATATATGATGTTTTCTGCCCGATTTAAACTGACTCACACGCCAACCAAGGCATGTCGACATTTAAAAATTACTTGTCTTTGGGTAAGCTCTGAAATAGTATAATATAAATGTAAATGAGAAATTAGGTTATGCTAGCTCACGAAACGGAGGATTTTCAAAGTGATCTTGTGTAATACTTCGGAGAAAAAAGTTTGAAAGGAAAGTAGGTCAACCTATCTCCTAAAACAGGGGAGTATCCTGCCTAATATTTCGGAGGGAACGTAGGTTAACCTATCTTTTAAAACAGCGGGTGGCGACTTTCAAAGTGGTTCAAAATCACAAATTAATAATTATCAGATTAGGTTTAGGGATAAATCGAAAAGTTGAATTTCCAGCGCATCTAACCCTAATTAGTTGATTGCTATTTATATTTGGGGGGGATTATTTTGCAGGGGATTTGTACAAACGATCCACCCTGTAACTACTATGGTTTCCAGCCTGCCTCGTGTCTGTTAGATGGAAGGAGTAACAAATGTGAAAGTCTTTGCTGTTTACGCGAGTAAGCAACTGACACCGTGATACATTGCATGAAAGTTTTGTCCGCGGCAGGTGTTAGCAGATGTCATTTCGTTGCCGATGAATTCCCTTGTATTAATTAAACATGAATTCGCTTAAAGGGAACTCGGTTAACGAAAAGGCTTCTTTTTAATTCATAATATTAACCGGAGGAGCGCTTTTTCGAGTATCTATGCGGTTTTAAATGGGTTATATGAAAAGCTAGGGCACCTAACTTGTTAAAATCGGCAAAAGCACTTTCGCACTTTTTTTTCCGACTGCGAAGCACTTTCGCACTCATAATTTGCTTAGAGTTAACACTGCTTCAAAGTGTAGCTGGAATTGCTAGGCACTCACCAGCTGCTATTTATATTATCAACCAATTAAAGATGCATAAATCATATGTAGGATGTAGATAAATATTTACCCAGATGACAAAATTTTCAATATTGAATCTTCATTATTTTGCATGACTGCTTTATGTAAATGCTGTCCATTGTATGGTTCCTCTGCGAAGAAAAATAAAAAGATAACATATTAAAAGAAGTAACATTAACAGTACAACAAACGATCTAAAACTCAAGGTCTTCAATTTATGTTGCTAACTATAAATTTCTAGTTAATAAATTTGACGTAATTTTTTTTTACAAAATTAACCAATGTTCTTCAAGGAAAGACTTGAATACTAAATTATTAATAAGATATGGCAATCCACTATTATTAGTGGGATTACTTATATAGGATATATTGATTGACAACCAGCCTTATCATAGCAAATATATTTATTCATAACCAGTAAATTCAAGCAATAAATGGGAAAAGCCAATAATACACGATCTATAATCGGCCAAAGCTTGTAGAAATAAGAAAAGAGCAATTGTGTCAAAATAAATTATTACTGTTTGATATTCCAAAGCACATGGTATGAAAAGATAACAAAGCGACAAAGCAAACATAGAACAGCACAGTCATTCTTTTATCTATTGTTAAGTTTACAATAACATCTGCGTGACTAGTTGACTACATTTGACAATTCAATTTTACTTGAAAAGAAATAAAATAATATTTATTAATCTGGATAAAATATGAAATAAGACTTTATAATTTGGATTGTCACCAGGTAAAAACATAATAACTGAATTAAGCCATATGAGATGACAATTAAGAGATAATCTCTGAAGATGAAAATTTAAAAATAAAGTTATCATTCTGGATGACCCCATTAAGTAAATTCGTAAATATGCTTCCTGTTATAGCAATTTGGTTGCCATATACAAGATTAGACTAAGATCCTACAGGACACAAATAGAATTCATATTACTGTTTCCATAATTACATCACATATTACCAATTATTATGAGTGACAAATATCTGAATATGACTCACACATTACAATATGTTATTCAATAGCCTACACATCATGAAAAGTAGGCCTTCGATGCAGAGGAATGAACAAAAAAAATTTATCCTAAGATTATTTTGTCCAAATCCTAGTAGAAGTTAAAAATTATTTGGCTATTGTCACAATAGAGAATCCAACATCACAAACATACTGCATCAATAACATGTTATTAAATTTTATCATTTAACGAAAATTTCATGCAAAAATGAAAATCAACCTCACTTGTTGTACAAACTGATATAAGTGGACTGACCCCAGTGTCACCAGCATTATTTGTTACTTTTAATCTATATTTATATGATTGAAGAGGTTCAAGTCCTTCAATAGTGTAGGAGTCAGCATATCCTCTATCGAAAATAAAATAAACTCCATTATTCAATTGTAAAGTAAGATTATGAAGAGTATGACTCAAATTTGTGTACTCCCGTAGTGTGTGTACCAGATTAGTGTTAGGCCATAATTTTATTCCGATTTTCCTGTTAGCCAAGTGATTATACGCACTGCCCATAGGCTTCCTTCTGTTCCTTTACACAACTTAGGTGTTGTTACAGAATTAGTTACCTCCATATGGTACAGACACTGCTGGAGCACCCAAATTTGTACCTATACAGATTCAGATGATACCGAAATTCCATAATTTTTCTTACAAAAAAAAGAAATATCACTGTTAAGCATTAGGTAGTTAGAAATGTAAAATACAACAGTGATGGAATTCAAAATTTCAAGAACAGGTTATCTTTTGAGTCAAACTCACTAGCAACAACTTCCCTCAATTTAGAAAACCATGTCAAACTTATAGCTCTATAACACAGGTTCCCATACGAGGATACTTGAAAACCATAGTTTAAGAACTCCTCTGGAAGGCACATTTTCACTATGACCAAAGTAACTTCCAAGTCTACTTCTGCAGTTCACATGACTTATTTTGTCCAACCAGAGCACGCAGTAAAATTTTGAGCGAATCTTGAACTGTCCAAAAGGTAGCGATAAACAGAAAGTTTGGGACTCTCTGATCTATAACCATACAAGAATGTGACTCAGTATTACATGACAAGAATGACTGAGAAGTCACATTCACTGATGTATGTCACTATACAAAATACAATAATATGACACGCTTAATAAATCTAATACAAATTTATTATTATTAATAAGAATTTAGTCATCTAACGTCTAAAACAAGAACAAATTCAATGATAACCATATCATTCCAAAAACGAGTTTGCGTGAACTTGTGCAAATCCCTTGAGTCTCACCACTGATTACAAATAATGTTAATGCCAACTAAGAAACACGAAGTAATATTTACATATAGACTGTTCCAAATCCTTTTGTCTTTTTATCCTCTTCTTGTATTGCATATTTGAGCCTGAAAACAAATCACGACGTTGTATTGAATTTAAAATAGATGATAAGGAAAACAGTGAAAATAAAGAATCATTATTCGAGTTTTAGGCTTTCTATAACGTGACAAGTGAATTTTAAATTTAAAATTTGTAACGTAGCATAGGACTTGATTGTTCCCGATGGGACATAATTTCATCATTTAAAAAAGTTACAGAGTAGTTTCCATGACAGTATTCTAGATATTGTAAAAAACAAGCAAAAAAAACAACATTAATTTTCACATGGTCCAAATTTCAAAGCACACTTTGGATGACCAAATATTACAAACCTGTTGTTGCTTTTTCCATCACTCCACATTGGTCGATCCCATGTAAGTTCAACACTATGATGTGTAACGCTTCTTATAACAGGAGGGTCGGGTCTGTCAAGATTTTGAATGGATACTGCAAAAAATAACGATAAATTGCAAAGAAATACAGTAAAGATTTCAGGACTTTATAGACTCCTGTGAAATACTAAATGTGTTTCAATATTTGTTATATTTATTATTTCTGAAACTTACAGCAAGATACATACAGTATGGCACAGTTCCAATTCCAAGATGCTTGCCCTAATAATTATACAAATTAATCTGAAAATTTCCGAACTCTATGATAAAAATGTTTTCCTTCGTTATATCGGATTATTTTTTTGCAAGAATTCAATGGTGACGTTTTTTAGATTGCGGTCTTTCTTAGTTTATTGTGCAAAGTTGGTTTGCTGATTTATGCCAATATGGAGGCCCAGACTGTATCATGAAGGAGGGTATCGCAATCACTATTATAAATGAAATCTTTCAATGTGGGGGCATTTCTTGGAATTGGAGAACTATGCCGTACTGACACGAGTTCAAGATTTTAACAAACTCACTAATTTGCTTTGGACTCTTTTTTGCTGGTTCATTCCTTTCAACTTCTGACGGACGAAACGCCGGCTTCGTTAGACGTTGTAGCATATTTAAATTTACTTAACAAAATAAGGACATGAGGTAAGCTGCTACATGTAAATCAACACACAAAAAAATAAACATAAATATTACTGTATTAACAGAAGATTTGTTCAATAAAGTCAATTTCTGATAATATTCAAAAATACTTTATTGGTGTATTTGTCAAGGTAATTTCATCCTATTTCAGTGTTTCCATGGCTTGAATTCAATTTTTTTACATTCAAAAAAAGTTATTATCTAGATCTGTTAGATTCAATTCAGTCAAAGCCGTGAGTACAGTGACATTGTAATACTGGTAAGTAAGTCAAAAGCAATATATCTGTATAGTCTTAAACAGGGGCATAAACCTTTAATACATTAACTGATCAAGGCCAGATAGAAATAACTGTGTGAAACCGCGGGTCGCACATTATCTAACATAGGCTTTCTAGTGTCGCAGGAACAAAAATTCGGGTTATTGATGTTATGACATGTGTTGTTCGCTTCGCACAAGCTAGCTGTTAAACATTGTAACGGCATATAGCTGTATAGGCATAGCCCAGATCAGGGGTGTGCAATCTTTATGACAAGAGGGCCAGATACAAGTAACTGGTTGAAGACGCGGGCCGCACGCCCGCACCTTTATTTAAGATAGCCTTTCTAGTAGTTTCAGACACATAAAAATTGTTTCTTTTTGTTATTGATCTTACGGTACCGGTATGTTAGGGGTCCTTGCAGAAATGGTGAGTTAAAACACTTAATCTTTTAAAGAAAACTGCTATTCAGATTTAGAGACCCCTATTTTGAACGAATTCAGTGAGAAACACGTTTTCATAACATTGTGTATTTCGCTAGCTAGTTTTGCTAATATGACAGTGGCACTCAGGTACTGGTATAGAGCAGGGGTCCGCAACTACGAGGTAGCGACCCAAATGTGCGTCGCGAAGCCCTCCGCTCTGGGTCGCGAAACAATTTAAATTTTCCATAAATATGAGCATCGCGTCTGTGTAGCGTATTTATGTATAACAAGTTTATAAATCTCTGATTATACTTATGAATGTTTCCCCGAGTAGACTAAACACTTCCTTATTTAATGCCGTAACATTGGCCAATCAGCATAAGTCTGTAAGTGCAAAATTGAAGTAACAATAAACGTTTCAGAAGCGCTCAGATACTTTTGCCATTCCAGCATTCAGACAGATTTTCATGGTTGTAAATATTACCTCGTTTTGTCGGTTTTCGCGTGTTATTCATATAAGTCCTAAACTTCTTGAAATAAGTACCAATAATTTTGCAATGGTAAAGGGTAAAGAGGAAGAATTCAAGAGATCAAAAGTCGAGGTAACATTCGTTATTTAATTGTTCGCATTGTTATATCCTAGTAATCCTACTACGTGGACTCTAGGTTCTCAAAGTGCTTCGTACGGAGACTCAGGACTCCGTTAAAGACACTTAAGGCCTCCGCGAGAAATTCGTTTACTTGAAAACTGTCCTCGACCTCCCTCAACTTTCCTATCCTCGACCGACTTATCGACAAAACATAATTGACGGCATTCGTATATGTAGACTGGAATCTCAAATGGTAAACAATAACCATAATTGGCGCGGCGGTGTGGCTCAACGGGCTAAGCGTTAGGAATACGCTCACCACAGCACCTCTAATTACTCTGCGTGGGTTCGCAGGTTCGTATCTCATGCAGGGATGATTAAGTGCGAGAGGATTGCTGGACTCGGTTACGGCTTCCTCCACCACCAAGTCCATGCTTCCGAAAACAAAACAATATAACTAATCCCATACCCGACTTGGAATGGTAACCGGACGAGAGGCCGTGGTTCGCCATATGGATAAGCCGTCTTATCGGCTTTCCTCTCCCCCGGGATAAATATGTAAATCCTAATTGGCAGTTTAAAAATGTGTTAATAATTGGGCTACTTATGGTTTTTTTGTTGGGAATGACAGTTTTCTAAATTTTAACAATGACTCAATAAATCTCATTGATTTTAACAAGCCGTTTTATGCCCTTAATAATTCGTCATTTCGTGTGTTTTATGACAGTATGATGCTGATCAGAAATAAGCAATAGTGCTCTGGTCCGTATAAAGTGTTTTTCTTCAACATTTTGTAGTAAAAGCGATAGGGCGGTGGGTCGAGGATGGGAAGGTTGAGGGAGGTGGAGCAGTTGGCCGAGGCGAGGGAGAGGGCAGTGGGTCGAGAATAGGAAAGTGGAGGGAGATAGGCCAGTGGGTCGAAGATTTGAGTTGGGATGACTGTATAACTTCACTAGCTCCAAAGTCTAAACCAGAGATCGGCAAACTTTTGTCGTTCGCGGGCCAAAATTAAAGGTTGCAAGTCTTTTGCGGGCCGCATGTATTTTAGAAAGTTAAAAACCAAAGAAATGGCCAATAAATCACATTTCACCCAGGAATTTCAAGCAGTGCGCGAAGACTGATCATTTGAATATTTTCAGCGTCATTAAACCATTTGCGCTCAGCATTAACTTTTTTACGTTCTGTTGCCATTTCTCTAATTATAATCAATTATAAGCTCATTAAACGAGTGATTGTGAATTATATACTTGTTAGGTTATAGTATAATTCAGTTTCTCAAAACAAATTTTGTAACGTAAAAAATATATTCGTCAATAAAGCTAGCTGTTTTGTTAATCTAATTTAGTGAAGCGTCCGTAGTTTGCCGACCCCTGATCTAAACCTTTCAATGAAAGTTTGATCATTTTACTGTGTCGGCCGATATTCGTCCCATCACTGCATCTAGAAATCACTGATACATTTATGCATAGACCGAATTCGATATGAAGGTATCAAATATAATTGGCTTCATAACTGCAAACTCTCCCTTAACAACGAAACATTGCGATAATCCTAAGTGCTGAAAGAGCAACTCAAAAATACGATTTCAACCCATTCATTGCTAGTAGACGGTTTAACAAGTATTTCATGGTTGCCGTAGTATATTAGTCAACTCAAAAGCGAGCAATGATAAAATACTAATTAAATTGAATTGATATATATGACAAGACATTTTAAATTCTCGGGTCGGCCATGGATTGAGCAATGAGTGTTGCTCGGGAATTTTTTTATTCTGAACCCCCTCACTTTTAGAAAACCATGGCTGCTGCGCCCTTAGTTATAGATAATGTTATATTTGAATCACTACCACATTTCGACACCACCATCGTCAAAATTTATTATTGACGTTAATGCGCCCTCACAGATACAAAATTAACCAAGTCCGTTTTTAAGTGAACGAATAGCCCGCGGAGCCCTGAGGCTCCGTACGGAGCACTTATAGCAGTGGGGATCAACGCCCGACAAAAGACTCATCTTCTCACCCTCATCGGATAGAAATACATCACTCAAACCATACATATAAGCGGAATAACAGCAAATAATGTATAAAGATTGGTTTCACGTGTATCTTACAGCAAAGCATCCAAAATTCATTAAAAAAAGTGTGAAAAGTTGAATAGATTACTAAAGTTTAACACCAGTGCTCATGCAAAAAATAACCAGAATTCAATTGAATTCGCAATTTAGGAATACGCTCGCCACCGCATCTCTGATCACCCTGGTAGTTTCACAGGTTCCAATCCCATGCGGGGATAGTTATGTGATCGTACGATGTTGCACCTTGCAACCCCCCCCCCCCCCCCCCCCCCCCCCCCCCCCCTCCCCTGCCAGATGATTCCTATCCTAAAAACTACCGACATTGGTAGGCATATTTGCGTTTTAACTTGAAAGAAATCTTCATTAATGGTCAGGTGTTGTCTGATTGTTTCAAATGACTGTCAAATGATGATTAGTGTTTGATTTCTTTTCAGGAAAAGGGAGAGATAACCCATTTCCAGCTGCTTATAGAAGTCATCAATATTTGAATATTCGCCATCTACAGAGAGGAAAAGAATAGTTAGAAAAAGGGGGATTTTAAAGAAAGGCAAAAGGCAGGACCATTTCAACAAATTATGTTAACTTGTATGCGTTGCAATATCACTTTGCAGTTGTTAGCATAAACATTTAATGTGTCTTTCGACTAGACCTACAACACTTTAAAAGCCGCCTATACCCATTTTCATTAGAACCATAACACTGTAAAATATTTGATAGAAATTACCCCTAAGGCATCATATCTTCCATTTAAAAGGGCTGTGGAGGCAGATACATTTTTTACTCTAAATTATGGAATGTTACTTCCAGGTTATCTTATCCTTGCTTATAGATATCTTGATGTTAGTGACTCCAACTGACCCATGCATGGCTTGCATGCCACACTGAAAATTCTCTTGTGTACCGATAAGATTAAGCGGTTGGAGCCTTCAGCAATCTGAGCACGATGGCTTCATGTGAAACACGTAATATGCATTTATAAGCAAAAATATCCCATCCTGAGCAGCACCGATCCACAACCTCCTGCCTATGAAATCAGAGCATTAGACAAATTGGTGTACTGTGGACATTCACAAATCTTGCGAATCAAGCGTGCCTTTTGACTAAAGAGAATTTAGCATTGAAATGGTCAATGGTCACATTTTTGATGTGCTTTATTTTCCAAATATAATTTATAATTACTGTAAAGTGTGTGATACATTTGGTACCATGAATACCATTTGCAAATTAGCTTGGGTTACACACCTCTCGAATGAAAGTTTAGACTCTTAAGTCATATATCTCATAATATTCTTTAAACAAAAGGTTGCGGCTAGCCGACTACCCATCGGAATTTTCTTTTAGATCACAAAGTCGCCATATTCCGCCTCGCCAAGTTTCATTGGCCACTGTATTTGGTTGTAGTATCGGTGTCCAAATTTAGACTGAAATCTTCACTACCAGACCCCCCGAAACAAAACAAATTTTCTTGATAGGGTCGTATTAAAGTTGCTTTCGTTCAAGCACAATGGACACTTATCTCCACCAATCCACAGTAATCACAAGTTACTTTGTCATTACGTTAAGCATCAATAAATGGATACTGGGGATGTATTATCAAGTCACGCAAGCTGAGGTCTTGTGCCACTGTGATCTTGTTGCAACCTCTACTTTGCCATCCACTTATTCTATGGTCACACCCATATCTGTAAGATAAAGGAT